GGAGCACGCTCTAGATCGTGAGGAAGAGGCCGTTCACCACTTAGTCCTCAGGGCCTCTGACGGAGGTAACCCTCCCCGTTCAGGCACAGTCCTTGTCACTGTGACTGTCTTCGATGCAAATGACAATGCACCAGTCTTCACCCTGTCTGAATACCGAGTGAATGTTCCAGAAAACTTGCCAGTGGGCACTCAGCTGCTAAAGGTTACTGCCACGGACAAGGATGAAGGAGCCAATGGAGAAGTGACATACTCATTCCGAAAATTATCAGACACACAGTTGTCCAAATTCCAACTAAATAAAAAAACTGGTGAAATAAAAATATCTGAAAATCTAAATTATGAAGAAACAGTGTTCTACAAACTAGAAATACAAGCTGAAGATGGAGGAGCCTACCTTGCGACTGCAAAGGTGTTGATTACAGTAGAAGATGTAAATGACAACAGTCCAGAGGTGACCATCACATCTCTCTTTAGTCCAGTGACTGAAGATTCACCTATGGGGACTGTCATAGCTCTTTTAAACGTGCATGATTTAGACTCAGGGCAGAATGGAGAGGTAACCTGTTCCATTTCTGAAAATCTACCATTTAAATTAGAAAAGACCATCGACAGTTACTACAGACTGGTGACGCAACGAGCACTTGATAGGGAACAGGTATCCTCATACAACATCACAGTAACAGCCTCAGATGGTGGAAACCCACCTCTGTCAACCAAAACGTACTTCACTCTGCAGGTGGCAGATATCAATGACAACCCACCCACCTTCTCTCACATCCCCTACTTTACCTATATCCCAGAGAACAACCCCAGGGGGGGCACCATCTTCTCTGTGACTGCCCTGGATCCAGACAGCAAAGAGAATGGCCAGATTGTGTACTCTCTGGCTGAAGACACTGTTGAAGGGGCACCACTATCTTCCTACATATCCATCAACTCAGACACTGGCATCCTGTATGCACTCCGATCCTTTGACTATGAGCAGTTTCATGAACTGCAAGTACAAGTGACAGCCAGTGACAGTGGGAAGCCGCCCCTCAGCAGCAATGTGTCACTGACCCTGTTCGTGCTGGATCAAAATGACAACTCCCCAGAGATCCTGTACCCCACCCCACCCACTGATGGCTCCACTGGAGTAGAGCTAGCTCCCCGATCTGCAGAGCCAGGCTATCTGGTGACCAAAGTGGTGGCAGTGGACAAAGACTTCGGACAGAACGCCTGGCTGTCCTACCGTCTGCTCAAAGCCAGCGAGCCAGGTCTTTTCTTGGTGGGACTGCACACAGGTGAGGTGCGTACAGCGCGAGCCCTGCTGGACCGAGACACCCTCAAGCAGAGCCTCGTAGTGGCTGTGCAGGACCACGGGCAGCCAGCGCTTTCTGCTACGGTCACTTTAACTGTCGCGGTAGCCGACAGCATTCCTGATGTTCTGGCAGACTTAGTCAACTTGGAGCTGCCACAGGACTCCGAAGGCTCAGGCCTCACACTCTATCTAGTGGTGGCAGTGGCCGCAGTCTCCTGCGTTTTTCTCGCCTTTGTCATCGTGTTGCTAGCGCTCAAACTTCGGCGCTGGCACAAGTCGCACGTGCTTCAGTCTTCCCGAGATGGATTGACTGGCGTGCCCGCCTCTCATTTTGTGGGCATGGATGGGGTGCATGCTTTCCTGCAGACCTATTCCCATGAGGTCTCGCTAACCTCGGATTCCCGGAAGAGTCATCTGATCTTCCCGCAACCTAACTATGCAGACAAGCTCATCAGCCAGGAAAGCTGTGAGAAAAATGATCCTCTGTCTTTGTTAGATGATTCCAAGTGTCCGGTAGAGGATACCCTTTTGGTACCAGTGAGTCTGTTTTTACTTTCTCTTTAAGTAATTATGACCAGTTTTACTTTTAGGGTTGGATGGGGTGTTGGAAATGTTGGATCTTTATTTTTAAATCACTGCTCTCTGTTTCAATGACACACACTTCTTGCTAAAACATTGGAGTAGAATTAGACGATTAAGGCTTTTTTGAAAACTTTGTGATGAAAGTCACCCAGGTTGGCAAAAGATTGTTATGAGTAGCCTTGCAGACCTTTAGTAATTTATCATGTTTTTTAGAACAATGTTGACAATTCCTAAGAGGGACTTCCTTACAGAACAGTCTGCTGACTTATGCGTTCTTATTTGCCACACACTGCAACAGTAACCCCTCAGACAGGGGAGTTCCTTTGAAGGCAAGTTAGAAACAAATACGTTAGTCCCACCAGAAACAGAAAGCAAGTCCAAGGCTATTCACTACCATTCTTTCAAAGAAGAAGGGAAGTATGTCTTTGCAGTTGTATTTTTCAAACAACACTGTAGTGGCAATTGCAACTGAACATACATACTCCTTACAGACTTGTTTTTAATTAACACTCAATTAACAATCCACAAGTATGTGCTTAGGTTTTTTACAGCCATAATCATACCCATTAGCTCGGTCACATTCTTTTTGCATATGATTACCTAGTTTCA